AGTTCTGTTTAGCATTTAGGAAAACTGACAGTTGTCCATAACAACTAACTTTTCAAACATGTTGACTACATGAACATTTCAAATGGGTATTCTACATTTTAAAATTTTACTATCTTAAGTATATTTAAATTCAGCAATAATCTATGTATATTGAACATTTAAACATTTCATAATTATAATGAAGTATTATACTATATGTTAAATTACTTTCATGCCCAGGGCTTCTTGTCATAACACTGCTATTCACTGGCACATTCTTTACTGATACTGAGAAACTCCCTTGATAGCTATAATAGGCTAGGATTTCAATGTTCTGAGTCTTAGCATAACAAATACAATCAGATTTGTCACTATGTTTACTTTTATTTTTAATCCATTAACATTTGAAAAACCATGTGTTCAAACCTAGAGGAAAAATATATTCTTCAGTATAGAAATGAAGAGGCCAGTGTGCACTTTATTTCCTCTTCTTTTCTTTTCTTTTTGTGCCGGTACTGAAGTTTGGACTCAGGGCCTCAGCCTCAGGGCTGTCCCTTAGCCTTTCCTGCTCAAGGTTGGCACCCTACCACTTGAGCCATAGCTCCACTTCCACATTTTTGCTGGTTAATCAGAAATAAGTTTCATGGACTTTCTTGTCCATACTGGCTTCAAATCTAAGCCACCCAAATAGCTAGGATTACAAGCATGAACCACCAGTGCCTGGCTTCAGTGTGTACTTTTTATGACTCTGAATCTATAAGTTGAATGTATACATGCATCGTAGTTGGGAGCATACTGATTTTTGTTTTCAGATTAAAAAATGAAAATGAGTTGTTCTTTATAGAAATAATTGCGCTGGAAGAAGAAGAAAGAGGGAAGGAAACAGGGAGAGATGAAGAGAAGGTAAAAATGAAGTGTGCTTTATGGAAATAATACCGTTAGGGGAGAGAAACTGAAGAATAGAAAGAGGGAAGAAGGAAAAGAAGAAGGTGGGAAAAAAAGAAGAATGTGTTCTGTCATTCATAGACTCTTATTTTATTTTATTTTAATTAATTAATTAATTTTTGTGCTGGTTCTGGCCTAGGTGCTATCCTTTAGCCTTTTCGCTCAAAGCTGGTGATTTACCATCTGAGACACAGCTACACTTCCAGCTTTTTGCTGGTTAACTGGAGAAATGACTCACAGATTTTCCTGCCCAGGATGACTTCAAAACATTATACTCGATCTTAGCTTCCTGAGTAGCTAGGATTACAGACGTGACCCACTGGCCCTACACTATTTTATAAGAAAAATTGTGTTCTTCAATCTTAATGTAAATTTTATTATAATGTTAAATAGGAACAACAGTAGAGAAATATCTGGCTTATGATACATACAGAAGCCAAACAATAGCAAAACTAATAAATTAACAACATTTATCAAATGGTATATTGTTTTGTTTTGCTGAAATTAAATTGCAGCTTACCACATGAATAAGATTGCAATACTATACTGAATGTGGCTTGCCATATTATATTCAATGGGATGACTCATTCCCCCCACCACTCTAGCTACCAAGAAACTGTATTATGTACAGTATACATGATAGAACTTTATAATTTACTGATAAAGTCTGATTCTTTTATTTCAGATCCTTCCAGAAAATTAAAATAGTCTGATTTGGTGTCAATGTGCTTGTATACCCAAATTCAAATGTGAATGTTGATTTTGTATAACAGTATTCAATTATAAGGTGGTCTTCTAGGTGGCCTAGAATATGTTTCTGTTCATTTATTTTACATTATCTTCCTAGGAGTTGCCTAGGTTACAGTGACAGCAAGAAGAAGAATTGGGTTTTCACAGACAAGACTCAGATTAAAGTGAGTATGACAAACTGTGACTCCAGAGTCATATGAGGAAAAAGAGACAGCAACATTTAGGTTTCTAAATGCCATAGAAATCTACGATTAGTTGGCAAAGATTAATGGGGGGAGAAAGAATAGGAAGGGAGTGGATAAGCTACAAAACAATGTAAGCTATAAACTATAGTTTACAGCACCTAATTAATATTATTGGACTTAGAGCTAATATGAACTGCACAAACAGGAAAACATGAATCAGAAACACTTATTATGTTAAAAATAGCATAAACAATCATGCTTAATAGTTCTTTCATATAGCAGTCACTTTCTTCCTTTAAATAACTATTAACCACAACTGGATGCTAGTGGCTCACACCTGTAATCCTAGCTTTTCAGAAGGCTGGGATATGAAGATCACAGTTCAAAGCCAGCCTGAGCAGAAAAGTCCATTAACTATTACCTCCAATTAATGACTAAAAAGCCAGAAGTGGAGTTGTAGCTCAAGGGGAAGAATATCATCCTTGAGTGAAAAAGCTCAAAGACAGCACCCAGACCTTGAGTTCAAGCCCAAGACAGGTATCAAAAGTAAGTAAATGAATAAATGAATAAAATATTAACTAGAGGACCTGTGTGTATGTGTGTGTGTATGAGATGATATTCTCCATTGCTGCCCCTCTAGGGTTTTTCCAGCTGCCCCTATACCTGGGTGTCATTCAAGAGTTATATGGGAACTGGAAGTGATAGCAGTGTTTAAGCATAGGAATGAGATAATCTTTTCTGTATGTCTGCCAGTACTGGGGCATTGTAGAATTCCCCCATTCCTAATTCATATTCACACCTTTTTTTACTTGCATTGTTTTCACAGTCTGCTAACTAGTTTTTCTCTGTCCATTTAATCACTAAACCCTGAAAGAAAAAACACAAGTCATCAAATCAGGAAAACATCTCAAATTAAATCTATCTGCTGGGTGCCAGGGGCTCACACCTGTAATCCTAGCTACTCAGGAGGATGAGATCTGAGGATTGCAGTTTGAAGCCAGCCTGGGCAGCAAACTCTGTGAAACTATTATGTCCAATTAAACAGCAAAAATAAAAAAGCTAAAAGTAGACCTGTGGCTCAAATGGTAGAGTGCTGGCCTTAAGCAAAACAGCTCAAGGACAGCATGTAGGCCCTGAGTTCAAGCCCCAGGACGGACACACACACACACACACACACACAAACACATACACACACACACACACACACACACACACAATTACCTACCACAGTGTACCTTTAACAAAATTGATTCACATAAAACAATACCCACATGTCTTTCTTCTTACTTTTAGTAGTGTTTCATTGAAATTGACAGAGGTAAAAAAAAAAAAAGAAATTGACAGAGGTAAAAGAGTTAAGTATTACTTGGAAGGTTTTGCTATCCAGAAACATGTCATGCCTATGCTCATAAAATTACATCTCTTCATCTAGAAAGGAAGATAAATGTAAATTAAATCACAGTTTAGTGGAGTAGATATGTTATCACAGTCTAAACCAGGATTGCTACTGCCTGTTTTATCTTTTTTGTTTGTTTTTGGTGCTGGGACTGGGGCTTGAACTCAGGTCTTGGGCACTGTACGTTACTTAGCTATTTTTTTTGTTTAATGCAGGCACTCTACAAGTTATAGAGCTGTAGTTACGCTTCCAGGTTTAAAAAGGTTAGTTAATTTTTAAAAAGCATATTTAAGTAGTTGTAGAAAGGAGTTTAAAGTTTGTCTTTTGTGAGGGGAGGGCATTTAATTGTAGATAAGAGTCTCATGGATGTTGCTGTCTGGGCTGGATTCAAACTGTGATGTTCAGATCTTAGCGTCCTGAGTAGCTAGCATTACAGGGATGAGCCATGGACACTTAGCCTTGTTTTGTTTTTTAACTGAAATTAAAATTTTTAAATAGTTAAAAAAGTTCAAGGATTATTTTTCATGACATACTAAAACAACATTGAAATATTTGTGTTCTGCTGGATGGTCTTTTGTGTAGATAATGTGTATGGTTGCTTTGGACTACAATAATAATCTATTACAAGAGAGACTTTTTAAATCTCAAAAATATTTTAGAAGGGTAGTGATGTAGCCCTGGGTGTGATTTACAAAATTGAAATATATTATACTTGGTCTTTCACAGACAATGCTTAACCTGCTGGTGTCTGTTAGGAGCCTCATAATCTTTCACATTGTTCCTTCTACAATTTTTGTCAAATCATCTAGTGGCAAAATTACAGAGAACTGGAGTATTTATATATATATATATCTATATATTTATATGTGTGTTCTTAGTTGTAAACATTCTAATTATTTGCACAAAAGTAATGAGTTTATTGTATTTCAAAGGAATAACACATTTCTAGTTTTAAGTCATACTATAGTCTCGAAAGATCATACTTTGAATGAGAGTTCCTTGCACATAAGGCACTTTCTAAATGAAATCTAGCCCCCACCTCACTTTCTGTTACATTTGGTCACTTGCTCCTTCACACGCACTGAGTCTCTCAGTGTTCTTCTATCTCATACAGTGGAATGTGACACATTCAAGATTTAGTGCTGGCTACATTTAGATCCATCGTCTACCTTAGTCCTTCATATTTCGTTCACTTCACTTTCTTCATCAAATTGTGTAAAATTACAAAATCCAAAAGGAATGAAAAGAGGGTGAGAGGCAAATTGCAAAACATATAACGATATTATTGGTGAAGAAGCGTACTTCCTATCCCGGTGATCAGAGCAGTTTGTCATGTGTGTGTGTGTGTGTGTGTGTGTGTGTGTGTGTGTGTGTGTGTGTGTATGTATATCTAACATTTATTAGAGGTTCAGCTAGTGGTCATTCTCTGTCATTAATTTCCCCTCCTCCCCCTTTTCATCTCCCATGGGAAACCTGGAAAACAGAAAATCTCCCACGGAAACTCCTCCGGGGCGTCCCAGGATCTGGGCTTGCGCACTTGAACTCCAACGGCGCAGCGGCCCCGGCTGTAAGTCCCGCGGGGTCTAGCAAGCACAAACCCAGCGCGGGCTGCACGGTCGGAGGCTGACGCGCGTGCGCGCGCTCCCCTTTAGGCCCCCTACCCTGCCGCAAGGGTAGCGTGACGTAATGCAGCCTCAGCAGACAGTCGGGATATAAAGGAGGACGAGGCGGCGCGCCTCCTAGACGCAGAGTAGCTTGTGATTGGCTCAGGCTGCGGAACCTCGGAAACCCGAATGCGAGGACCTTACAGCTGCCGCCCCCCGCAGCCAGGCAGAGCGCGGTCGTAGTCTGACTGGCGGCGGCGACAGAGGCGGCCCTGGAGGCAGCGGGGAGTGACAGGTAAGGAGACTCCGAGAGAGAAACTCGAGAGACCTGCGTCCGTCGCCCTCAGATTCTCCTGTGAGGAGAGGAGAGACTCACAGGCAGCATTTAGGGGAGGGCGTAAGGGAACAATGGAAGTGGCGTCTAGTCCCTAAGCTTTCCCTCACCCTCCGGCGGGCGGACAGGTTTCCGCCTCAGTTACCAGCAAAAGGAGAGCAATGGAGGAAAGTGAGGGCTTTCCCCCTTCGCCAACCTCTGCTTCCCCTAAAGCTCGACTCAAGGAAGCAGAGCCGTCGTGGAGGCCGTCGGTGGTTTGAGGGTGACAGGAAAATGGCGGAAAACAAAACGATGAAGCGAAGAATGCAGCGTCCCCCTTGGCATTTTCTCTCAGTGACTCCCCATATTCCTTTCCCTCGAGCCCTCACCCCCTCAGCAGGTCGCCTCTTTTTCCTCCCCGCCCCCCTGCCAGGCGACTGGTAACGTTTGCCATGCACGAGGGGTGGTGGCGTTGGAGAGAGGAAGTGGCAGCACGGAATCGGGCATTTTAGGGAATCGGGGAGTTGGGAGCCGTCAGAGGCTGGGTGGGAGGGGGAGAAGAGGAGGAGGAGGGGGTGCTGTGTGCGGCAGCTGTCGCCTCCACTAAAACACCACCATTTTGGTTCCCAGCCGTCTCCCACGTAGCGGGGCAGAGCGAGCGGGAGGAGCTGAGGGGCTGGGCTGCACAGCGCGTGGGTAGCAGCGGTGGCGACCGCTGCACCAAGTGAGAGGAGGGAGGAGGACGACGACGACGAGGAAGGGTATTCTTGTCTGTTGCGTGTCTTTTCCACTGCCAAGGGTCGCTGGATCCTTTAGGAGCTAGTCAGATGGGTCATCCTGAGAGGGCACGTGTGTGCGTGCTTTTGGCGATGATTGCAACTTGGCATGGTCGTGGGAAAGGGAGACTTCTGCGGGAAGAGGGCTGCGTCCAAAGCTGCAATACTGCTACTTGCCAGGGCTCCTTTGTCTCCCTATCTCTGCAAATACTACTTTCGCATTCTCTTCCTCGGCCTCCTTTCCATTTCCTTCCTACCTTTCACCTTGTTGACATCACTGAAAATCTTGTTGTTTCGATGAGCTTTTTAGAGGAGACAGATGCGGGTGAAAAATAGATGTTTTTTGTGTGATTTCTCTCTTCCCTTCACTCCCTGCCCCCCCGCCCCCGCGCATTGATGGAAACATGTTTACTTGAAATGGACTTGATAGGTTACCTATTCAATAACGATGTAATATACTCTTGAGAAGTCTTAGAAGCTTAGCTACCTATTGGTTATTAAATACTTAACAAATTCATATGCTCTTACCTCGTATATTATTAATTTTATAATGTAGCTTCCTATATGAAAAAAGTGCTTCTCTCTATTTTACATGCATACGTTGCAATACTTTCCCCAATACATGTACTTTGCTTTAAAATTTTTACACTTCTTAACGTGCTAGGAAGGATTTTTTTTCTGTATGGATTTGCCGTTGATTCCTTTTGACTTTCTTAAAGTGTTAGTGATTTTTTACAGTAAGATTTGGATTTGGTTTAATGAAGTGGTCAAATGCAGTAACATTGCTTATATCATAGATTGACCACCACCACCACCCCCACTCCGGTATCTCCTTGCTTACTTTAAAGATAAACACAGATCTGAACATATGAAGCCTTTCCAGCCTCATCCTACAAGTTGAAGTGTTAACACTCTTAAGTTGTATAAGAGATTTGCTAGCAAAATGTCTTAAATATCTCTAATTTTGACTGTATTTTTACAATAGGTAAACAGAACATTTTCCCAAAGAAAATGGCATAATTTGGGAGGAAAAATAAATTTCTGCAGCTTTTTACTTTACAATATTTAAGAAAATCTACAATTTCTTCAAGCTGTTCATAAAGGTGATTAACAAATTAATATCTTATTTAATATTGTAAAAAATAAGCTTTTAAAATATTTATAATTGTTCCATTGCTAATGTGGTTAAAGGAAGCTATTGACCAAGTTGAAGTTCAAAACATACATTGTTTTAAGTTAAAAATAAGTCGTTCTGGCTTTTTAATGTATCTATTTGAACATACACGTGATTTACTGTGAACTCTCTTGGCTTCTTTCTTGACTTCATTTTTTGTAATAGTAGGACAGCGTACAATCTGGTATTTGGGAAAATAAAAAGATAAAATACAGCTAAGAATTTTAAAAAACTAACCTTGTTCCTATAAATGCTTGGGGTGCTTTCAAACATACAATGGCACCCATCTAGGCAGAATTTATACATATCTGCACAATTCAAATGTTTATAAACAGTGCTGACAAATTTTTCTTGTATACCAAGAGAACTTTCTTATAGGGCAGCTTTCTTTCTTTTTTGATGCCACTACTGGGGCTTGAACTCAGGTCCTGGATACTGCCTCTTAGATTTTCATTCAAGGCTGGTGTTCTACTACTTGAGCCACAATTCTACTTCCAGCTTTTTAACAGTCAATTGGAGTTATGAGTCTCATAGACTTTTCCTGCTCTGGTTGGCTTCAGCCCCAACTTTCTGAATAGCTGGGATTACAGGTGTGAGCCACCAGTGCATGCCTATATGGCAACTTTCTCAAAGGTTTAATAAGGATGTAATCTCATCTCTTGTTCAGTAGAGCCCCTTATTAAATATGTCTAAGAATAGCCTTATAGAATTGACGTATTTTGTGGTTGATTTACTTATAATTCTTACAATTGATGGGAAATGCAGATATATAAGTAATATACTGAGAGAAGGCATCTGGCTTTATGTTCCATAGAATCTTAAATATATGATCTTGAGTATAAGAAATGAAACTATTAAGCCTTTTGCTTTTGAACTTGTCATGAGGCTAGCATGATTTCACTAATCACTACTGAAAATAATCAGTTATATGATTATAAGTGACTGATATGCTGAGAGAAACAAGTTGCTAAATGTTTGTATGTGATTGATCTTATCTTTACCATATTTAGGAAGCAGTCATGTTTCATGAGTCCTCAAAACTGTGAAACAAGAGAATGTAGTAGAGTGAGGCCAGAAGTCCTTACTGGTTCAAAGAACTCCGGGGAAACTGGGATAAAACATTTTACATTATAAGTAGAATCCCAAGAGCCAAAGGTGAATACAAGTTTATCTGCAGAGCTCCGCTGCAGGGCTGATCTGGGTCTGGAAGAAATGGATGAGAGCCACTGGATGAAAGTCACTAATACTAGACATCTGAGTCCTCTAGTAATGTATAAATATCCCAACTATTTTCTGTTGTCATCTGTTCTTTTCCTTCTTTTCTAACTGCAACCTCAATGCTGCAGTTTTGTTCTCTTGCTTGTTTCTATCACTTCTCAATAGCTCATCATCCTAACCATTTTCCGTTATCTTTGCTTTATTTACTTCCACCTTCCCTATTTTATTTATGGTTGTCACGTACAGCATCTAATCAAGGTTTGGTGGGGGGAGGTTGTTGGTTTGTTTATTTCTTTTGTAATAAGCTTTGCATACCTGGTTGAGAGGCATATTTTCTATTGCATTTTTATCAAAACAAAGGATTGGAGCTAAGTGTATTTGAACTATTTTTAAACCATTCTTTTTACAGATATTTGTGAATGAACATTGCTAAGTATGGATTCAGGTGTTGGAAGTCTTGGATTGCACACAGCAGACTCTAGAATGGCCCATACCATGATTATGCAAGATTTTGGTAAAGCATTTTCTTTGTTGTATTTCTTTTTTTCAAAAAGTAAAAATCATCAAAAATCAAAAATAAATTAAGGGAGGTAAATTTTAAGAAATACTACTTTTACAGTAAACAATTGTAGAGCTTACTTTATTCAAACAAATCTACATGCCAGTAGTCTTAAAATAATTCTTGCAATCTATGTGAAGGCTAAACTAAAGAAACCTAGAATACAGAGGTAATATGTTTCAGGAAAATAAAAATTCAATTCATTTCTAAGTAAGTGCATATTTGGATCACACATTCTGATAGTGTATATCAGACCCCACATGTAGGAAATGTTAATTTTTGCCTTCTAAAATACATTTTAAGTTGCTTTTATTAATAAATCTGCAAAAGGAAATGGTTTCATCAATTCAAAGAAGTAAAATGCTTATAAACTGATAGAGGCAAAATCATACATTTGGTAATTATAATTTGATCTTACCAGAAAATTGTCAATTACATACGTGTGTGTGTGTGTGTGTGTGTGTGTGTGTGTGTGTGTGTGTCTGTGTCCTAATACTGGGTCTTGAACTCAGGGACTTGCTGTTACTTTGGTTTGTTGGCTCAAGGTGAGTGGTATACCACTTGAGCCACACTTCCACTTCTGGCAAAAAGCCAGAAAAAAGCTGGATCACTAGAGGTGAGTCTCATGGACTTTTCTGCCTGGCCTGCCTTTGAACTGCAATTCTCAAATCTCAGGTTTAATTAAATTTTTATTATATCTTAATATTTTATTCCCTTTTGGTTTGTATCGAAATGATACATATTTCATGAAGTGCAGGTGTCAAGTCTAAATTTGCCAAGGGGACTTTTGGAAATTTTGGTTCTGGTAACTTAGATTTCTTGTAAGGCAGTCTTTTGTGCTTAATTTAAATTTACTATATATACATTTTTCTTTTGTGCTGGTCCTATGGCTTGACCTTAGGTCCCGAGTGCTGTCCTTGAGCTTCTTTTGCCCAATGCTAATAGTCTTCCACTTGAGCCACAGATTTTGTCGTAGTTTGTGGGAGTCTCATGGATTTTCTTACCTGGGCTGGCTTAGAACCATGATCTTCAAATCTCGGCCTTCTGAGTAGCAACCAGACAATTTATCCAATTTTTAGAATTTCATTAGAAGATTGATGCATTCTTTTTGAGTTTCTGTTAGTCTGAAAACTAAGATATTGTAATTTCATAAATTATTTGTGAAATACAGACAAAGGTAGAGTATGGTATGGCTGGCTACTGTATTTTAGAATCTAAAACATTAATTTAGGATTTCTTAAATCAATTTATTTTGAGGATAATTGATATTAAATGTTTAAGTTGTGTTTTATATAACAGTTTTGTTGGTGTCTTAGTAAAATAATTGGCCTTGGGGTTTGTGACAAGATTTTAATAGGTGTTTAAGATTTTTATGTTGTGAAAGTCATGTTATTTTGGAACCTAAATAGCAATATAGCCCTATAGCAGTCCAGGACAGACCACTGTTGAGAAAAACAAATGTTATGCTATGATTTTGGTGAGGTTCTACATACTGAAATGGAAAATACTTGTAATCAAGACTGCTATTATTACCTGTTTTTTCACTGATTTTATTTTTAAAATATTTCTTTCTTATTTATAATTCCCTAGATTAGTGAAAACCAAATGATATTTTGGTGCTGTTAACTGACTAAAATATAAATGAGTTTCTAGGCCATAGACTTTTCCTGTGGAGCAGTCAGCTGAACCTTGTGCCTTGTGCATGGCAGTCTTGTTCCCTCAAGCTATTTTCTAGTAATGTCCCAGTTGGTTAATCTTATAAATCTCTATTAATCCAGCCTCCTCCTAGACAAGTGGAAAAAAGTCAGTCTAGAATCAAATAGTTTTTTAAATTCCCACTTTGAACCTTGGTTGTTTATTTAACCTCTAAACTATAGTTTCTTCTATTTAAAATGAGGATGATAACACTTAACCTATATAGTTGTATTGAAAATTAAATGTATATGTCTATATGTACACATTGGAAGGCAGAATTTGAAATTCCTCATGAAGAAAGTCTAGCTCATATGGTATTTATAGAGCAGGTGTATTTAAATCTTGCTCAAGGAAAACATTAAAAATTTGTTTCTGTTGCAGTTTTCCTATTGTCAGACTAAATCTTAGTCTAAAATAAGTTGAAATATGTTTTGGGATATAGTTACTCTTTTTTTTTTGTCGGTCGTGGGGCTTGAATTCTGGGCCTGGGCCCTGTCCCTCAGCTCTTCAGCTCAAGGCTAGCACTCTACCACTCAAGCCACAGTGCCACTTCAGGCTTTTTCTGTTTATGTAGAGCTGAGGAATTGAACCCATGGCTTCATGCATGCGAGGCAAATGCTCTACCACTGAGCCACTTTCCCAGTAGTTAACTCTTATCACTTAAATAAGGGACTTTCATGTTTATAATTTATTCTATAATATAATTTAATTAATTTGTTGATTTTTGTGTCCTTTGATTTTTTTTTGTAATTTGAAGTACTCATAGACTCTCAGAAAGTAGCACATAGAGTTTTGTGTGTATTTACTTACTCATATTCCCTCAATGGTGGCATCTTATGTAACTGTAGCACAATATTTAAACCAGATAATTAACATTGGTACTGTTAAGCAAAACAACAGGCACAGTTTTCACCAGTTTTGATATATATTTATGCGTGTGTGTATGTATGTGTATGTGTAATTGTAAGAGAGGTAGGGGAAGTGGGTGTGCACTCAAGAAAACACCACCACAATGAAGATACAGAATTGTTGCATTGACACATTTATCCTATTGTTGAATACTCATACATACCTCCACCTGTGATAATCACTATTCTGTTCTTCATCTCTAGTTTTATCACCTTGAGAATGTTATATAAATGATTTCATTTATACATTAAACAGCATCACATTCATTGATTATTGACTCTGCACCCAGCATGAGATTGAACATATCAATACTTTGTTCTTTTATTGCTGAATATTATTCCATGGTAAGGACATGCTAGGGTTGGCTTAACCTTCCATTCATCTGTTGAGACATTTGTTTCCAGGTTTTCTATGATAAGTAAAAGCTACTATAAGATCTTAGAGATATTTGTGTATAGCTTTGTCTAAACACGTTTTTAAGTTTCCTGAGGAAAAGTACTGTGGATTGCAATGGATCAGTTTTGTATAGTAAGTGATTTTAAGTTTTGTAAGAAACTGACAAGCTGTTTTGCAGACTGGCTGTTGCCATTTTACATTACAATTGAGAACACAGAAGACATCTTTCCAGGTTCTCTCCACATCCTCATCACCTTGATTTTTTAAAATTTTAGTTATTTCAGTTGGAATGTAGTGATGTCTTATTATGCCTTTTGTTTTACTTAAAGTAAGACAAATTATTTTTAATGTCAATTTAGATTTTTCTTTTGCTCACCTCTACTCCACTTCCTAGTTAGTGATATATTTTTTATTTCAGCTCACTATTCAGCAGTGCTCTTAAAATTATATATTTGACATGGGCTAATTTATATTTAAGAAATATTTAAAAGCACTTGTCACATTAAATGTAAAACTTTTAATTAATAAAATAACTTTACCTTTTTTTTGGATAATTGTTTGTATTATAGTGGCTGGAATGGCTGGCACTGCACATATCGATGGAGACCATATTGTTGTGTCAGTTCCTGAAGCTGTATTAGTTTCTGATGTCGTCACAGATGATGGAATAACTCTTGACCATGGCCTTGCAGCTGAAGTTGTCCATGGGCCCGATATCATTACAGAGACTGATGTAGTAACTGAAGGTGTCATTGTTCCTGAAGCTGTGCTTGAAGCAGATGTTGCCATGGAAGAAGATTTAGAGGAAGATGATGGGGACCACATCTTGACTTCTGAATTAATTGCAGAAACTGTTAGGGTACCTGAGCAGGTTTTTGTGGCTGATCTTGTTACTGGTCCTGATGGACACCTGGAACATGTGGTTCAAGATTGTGTTTCAGGAGTTGACTCTCCCACAATGGTATCAGAGGAGGTTCTTGTCACCAATTCAGATACGGAAACTGTGATTCAGGCAGCTGGTGGTGTTCCTGGTTCTACAGTTACCATAAAAACCGAAGATGATGATGATGATGACAATGACATCGATGTTGATGTCAAGAGCACTTCTGAAGACTACTTAATGATATCTCGTAAGTGAAGTATAAAGTGCTTAATTACTTGGGATATTAATTTATCTAATATGGAAAGGTTATCTAAGATGGAGGATATAGTCAATAAAAACTATAGAGCTAGTCTTGAAAAAGAATTGTTTCAAAGATAATTTGTATTGAGATGCTTTTTTGAGTTTACTCATGTTAATTTTCCCAAAACAGCATAATAGGCAATTTATTAATCTCAGAATAGAAATAGATTTGGAAAAGTTCAACATGAATATTAACTGCTGCAGCTTTTTAAATACACACACACACACACACACACACACACACACACACACATGTGCTCTTCTCTTAGCTTTTTCATTCAAAGCTGGGGCTCTACCACTTTGAGCCACATCTCTACTTTAAACTTTTTGCTGGTTATTTGGAGATAGGAGTCTTAATAGTATTTTCTGCCTGGGGTGACTTTGAACTATGTTCTTCAGACTTCAGCCTTCTGAGTAGCTAGGATTACAGATGTGAGACACCAGCTCCTGGTTTCTGCTTTCTTTTCTTTTTTTTTTTTCTTAGTTTTCCCTTCTTTTTTCTTTTTCCTTTTTTAACATGGCAAGCCCTGGAATAGTCACCTCACTTTGCATAAGGATTTAAGCATAATGTGTTTGTGTGTGTGTGTGTGTGTGTGCGTGTGTGTGTGTGTGTGTGTGTGTGTGTGTGTGTATGTAGTATGTACAACTATTTAACAATTTATTTCAAACTGCTTTGTGAGTCTTTTAAAGCATTTTACCTAAAGGAAGGAAGACAAAAATATTTTGTTCTCATTTTAATTCATAGGTTTTTCAGAGCATCAATGATAATAAGTATCTCATGATATGTTATTGGTGAAACATTTTTAAAAAGCAAATCTACTCTTTGTATGAAGACGTGATTTTTTTTCCAGGCAAAATTATTGTGCTTTTCCTTTTAAAATACAGAAATTATTGACTGGAAAGGGAATTGCCAGAAAGGGTGTGTGTGTGTGTGTGTGTGTGTGTGTGTGTGTGTGTGTGTGTGTGTGTGTACAAAGTTATTGTGTGCTGTATGTGTATGAGTGCATTTAAGCTAAAAAAAGCTAGATTTATTTAACTTGCATATAAGATCTAACATGTTAAATTTTCTTCCATAAGCACATCTGAATGTGGATATTTTATATTGTTTTGAAGAGAATGAATTAAGTTACTAAAAGATTGTGTAAACATTATTACTGATTCTTGAGCATGTGAATTACTAAAGCAACTGCATATTTACATCTTGTTATTAAAAGGTTGTGGTTGTCATAAAATAATATGGCACAATTTGATGTTATTTCTGCATTAAAATACAGTTAATTCACCTTTAAACAGTATTCCTCAAACTAGCATGAAATATTTTAAGGTAGAGTGTTTATCTTTACTACATATGTTGAGTACAAGTATTTGGAACCTTCTGTTCTAATAGAATTTGACCATTAAAGAGAACATTTTGTTGTTTGAATATCATTGGAGCAGCAGTAGGAGTAATTTGAAGGGGAATTTAGAGCTGGGGAAAAGTTAATCTCCTAAATTATGAATAAGAAAAAACAGTAACATTAAAAAAATATTTAAACTCAATTACTTTGTGTTAAATGATGCTCACAAATATACAAATTATATATTTTCTTATATACTCATTATTCAAATATTCATATCCTTGACTATTTTTGAAATTGTACTCATTGCAACCATTTACACTTACCATTTCCTTTTTCTTTTATTGTAATTTCCCTTCATCTCTTCCTTAATCTTCACTTCTTCATTTTTATACTTCTTAATTTCTGTTGTCTCTTGAATTTGAAGATTACAGTGTCTTTAAAGACCCCAGTGTTAAGCTTAGAGGTCCTTTTCTCTGTTTTATTCCCAAAAATAGAGATTTTCAAAATAATTAAGAGTTAAGGTTAAGGAAGTAAGACAGACCCTTATCTTATTCTGGAATTTAAAGAATTAAAACAAACCCTTGTCTTATTCTGGAATTCCAAAACATTATAGAGGTAAGCTTTAGAGTTAGAGCATTTGTCTTCTGTCAGTGTGAGGTACATCTGAATTGCAATCCATGTCTAGTGCAAACCTCACAAACGCTTTATCTTAGCACAGTTAGGTTCTCCCACTTTGCTAAGTATCATCTAATTTAATATAGTATAAATATATCTGCTTAATGTTGTCTCAGATACACTTTTTCTTTAAAAATGCCTAACATTCTTCAAATATTTATTGGAATGGGAAAATGCCTTTATAATGAGCCACTCCAATGTTATAAAATGAATTTAGAAAAATGAATTCATAAAAAATTTATATTTCCTTTAGGGATTTATTTATTTATTTAATTTATTTGTCCTAGTACTGGGGTCTGAATTTAGGGCCTCATGCTCTTACTTGACTTTTTTTGATTCGTTTGTGGCTAGCGCTCTACACTGTGGTATTGAATACTGCATAACTTACAATAATAGGTTAATCTTGAATTGTAGGTATGTTAAGCATTATCTAACTTGGAAGTGTTTGAAAGCCAGGCTTGGTGGCACATTGCTGTGATCCCATGATAGGGCAAGCTGAGTTTAGGAGGATCACAGGCTAGGCTACATAGAGACTGAGTCTCAAAGGTGGGGCAAAGGGAATGAGAATGAAATGTGGGGTTTTTTTTCCCTGAAAACTTCATCTGCCTCTTGTAAGTTTTTAAAGAATCTCATTTTTTTAATTCGGTGTACTTTTTAAGAGAAACCATTAAACCAATGATATTATATATTTAATCCTCTTTTTTCTTTTGCTTTAATTTGTCCCTTATTTCCCCCAAATTGCAAAATATACAATAACATAATTAGAGTACTAACTTGGAATAAAAATATTTAGTCTCTGGGTGCCAGTGGCTCACGCCTGTAATCCTAGGTACTCAGGAGGCTGAGATCTGAGGATCGCATTTCAAAGCCAGCCTGGGCAGGAAAGTCTGTGAGAATCTTTCCAGTTAACCACCAGAAAACTGGAAGTGGCTGTGGCTTAAGTGGTAGAGCTCAGAGACCACACCCAGGCCCAGAGTTCAAGCCCCACGACCAACAAAAAAAAGAGACAATTTTATTACCTGGGTGTTCTCTTTCATACAGAGTAAACTATTCAACCTCTTGTAAATAGATTGGAGCTTAAGAGTATCAGTTTATGGCATTTTAATGCATTTTAATCTGCCTTTCATAGTTCTAGGATTGTTAGATATTCTTAGGAGTTTCAGAATTTTATGATTTATACATGTTCCAATTTGATATGTACAATAGGGAAGAGTAGACTTCTAATTTTGATTATATTTAGTTTTGTATGAACAAAATTGAAATTAGGAATGGTAGGCATATAATATTTAGAGTAAATACATTGCTTGGATACGACCATGGTAATATAATTATTCATTGCATAGATTATATAAGTTATGTCTGTAAGATATCTGCTATTTTCAAAGACTCTAAGAGGAAAAGACAAAAGTTTGTATTTCTACTTAAAATATAAGTAGTTGTCTCATTCTCAAAAATGGTTACTTTACTTTTCTTTGTAATTCTAATATATACTGAGTCTACACAGTTGTATATAAGGACTAAAAGTGCCCATTTAGGTATTTTCTATTATACATGAATGTGAAATAAAGCCTACATTGCTAAATATAGACTTATACAGATGTTGTGATTTAGATTGTATCCCACTGCCTTAACAAAAATTATAGTACTAAGATTTTATTAATTTATTTTTGTTTTGGTAGTGCTGGGGTTTTGTACTCAGGTTCTTGTGCTTACTAAATTGAGGTGACACCACTGAGCCTAGCCGCAACCCTATTTTTTTCACTAATCATTTTTGTGGTAGGGTCTAGCTTCCCACCTAGGCATACACCTAAGCTGCAATCTGCATACTTTCAGATTTTTCCTGTTACAGGGAACACAGATATGTGCCACTATACCCCTCTTCCCTTCCATGGAGACTGAGTCTCAGATTTTCCTGTCCTAGCTGGCCTGACATCATGATCCTCCAGATCTCAGCATCCCATATAGCTTAGGATGATAGGCACATGCTGCTATGCCCAGCTATGGGTTGAGAAAGGGGCCTCTGGAACTTTCCTGCCCAAAGTAGCCTCAAACTATAGTACTATTCTCAGTTTCGCAAGTAGCTAGGATTATGCTACAGAGGCCTGGCTCTTAAGATTTTATTTTTATAGTGATTTGTGAAAAACCTTTTTAATAAAATCATTTAGATGTTCTCTGTATTTCCGTATTTTAAAACCTAGATCTCTCATGTTAGTTTTAGAAGCAGCTGCTACTTAATTTGGGAGATATGTGACTGCATTTTATGAGTAATATGTTTTTATGGTTCTAATTTTTCTGCTTATTGATTTTGGTGCAACACATGCTTTCTTTCAGAATTACATGTGAAAGTAATGTTTAAATGGATATTTTTACTTCTTTTTCTTATTCAAAACCTCACTGTCCTGGTGCCACCTGTTGCAAATGTAGTGTAAAAGTATCTGGGACTATTAATTACATTTGAAGTATACTTAGCAATTTTATTTTCTGTGCTTCAAGCTTTAACTATAATTATAATCTCACATGAATACTGTACATGACCTAAGCAGTGAATAAACGATATTAAATTTTGCTATGATCATATCATGTTCAAGCAGTGTCTTCCCTCTATGTATTCCATGCCCTACCACTTTATGTATGTATCAATGGTGTTTCTATAAAATCATGATTTGAGTGATATGCTTAAACTTAAAACTTTTCTGTGTGATTTGACCATGCTGTATATCTATCTTTTGTACTATTTTACCATGCCAAGCAGTATTTTTAATATGGTGGGCAGGAGTTGAACACATCCTTTCACTTGGCAGCTATAATTTGTGTTCATTAAACATCAGTGGTTTTTTTGACTGCAATGGTTTCTTCCTTGTATTTTGCAGTGGATGATGTTGGAGAGAAATTAGAGCACATGGGAAACACACCATTAAAAATTGGCAGTGATGGTTCACAGGAAGATGTTAAAGAAGATGGCTTTGGTTCTGAAGTGATCAAAGTGTATATATTCAAAGCGGAGGCTGAAGATGATGTTGAAATAGGTATAGAGACTTTTTGTAACTTCTTGCTGTAATTTAAATAAAAATTCTTTTCTTGGCACTCTTCTACAATTGACCTTAAAGCATAAATTTTGAGGTTCTTTGGATGGCATATTTTAAAATTATATATGAATATTTAAATGAAAATCAAGAAAGTGGAATATGTCATTCTTAGGTTTTTTAGACATGAGTAAAATACTATAGCTGAAAATATCAAAATAAATTAATGAAGAAGATTTGGTTAAGAAAAATAAATTCTAATGAATGTTGAAGAGCATGGATTCTAATAGCATGGATTCTTTTCCCCTTCGTATTCAGCCTTTCTCCAAGGCTACTTTTGTTGCTTTGCCATACTGAGAAAGTCCAATGTTGAAGAACATAGATTCTAGTAGCTCTCAGCTTCTTCCACTTATGGCTGTAACTCTACTACATGAGAACACACCTTCATTTCTGGCTGTTTTGCTGGTTAATTAGAGATGAAAAGTCAGGTCTCAGCCTCCTGAGGTGCTAGGATTACAGGAGTGAGCCACTGACACCCAGCTTCTCATTTGCATTTTAATCATAGTTGTGCCACTTAATCTGAGTGACCTTCAGGGATGTACATAATCTCTAACTGCCTCTGTTTCCTCATAAATAAATGACCATAATGTCAAGATCTATACAATAGGACTTTTGTGAGATATAAATGGATAAGTATACGTAAAATTCTTCTATGATGCTTGGAATACAAGCATTATGTGTTAGCATTTTTTTTCTGCTGTGAACTGAAGATTTAAAGTGTATATAGGAACATTTTATTGGCACTTTGTATTTCTGAATTTAAAAAACAATTTCTAAGGGAAAATATTTCTTACATATCTTTATAAATATGGGAAGATATCCCATGGTGCTTCTTTATTTGATACCTGTCTTAATTTTTTTTAAGGTGGAACAGAAATTGTCACAGAGAGTGAGTATACCAGTGGACATTCTGTAGCTGGAGTGCTTGACCAGAGCCGAATGCAGCGAGAGAAGATGGTTTACATGGCAGTTAAAGATTCTTCTCAAGAAGAGGATGAAATCAGTAAGGAGAAAGGGCCCTGTATTGACTTAGAAGTATCAATTGTACAATTTTAAGAATCAAGCAATCTCAAGTTAGACGCTCTATATAAGAACAATATTCAAGAAACCAAGCCAGCCTGATACTTTGCTACAAATATATAAAAGGAAGGATACTATTGACCATCCTTTTATACATGTTCAGATCAGCAAACATGAATTCTATATCTTGGATAATGTGTTAGCAGGACAGAGAGGAGCAGAATATAGTTCCTGTTTAATGAAGCTCACAGATATATAGAAAATTTTAGTATTGGCATGTATGTTACTAGATTTGTTGTATATATTATCTCATTTAATTCCAGTACCTCATCTCTGAAATAGATAGTATTATGCCTGTTTTTTGGAAGAAAGAAAAGCTTAAGGAAAATAATTTACTGAAGATTATTCTAGTATTAAATGGGGAAACCAGAATTTGAACTCATATCTAACTGCTGCCAGCATTTTTTTCCATGTGGCAGTGAGCACTGTTCTTTGTCACTGAGAGATTAGGTACGTAAGTATTCATCAGAGCCCATCTCCCAGGATCTTGATTTATTATGCTTTTGATATTCCCCAAGTAGTTCTGAAAGATTATCTCAAGAGTTGAGGCTCACAAGGTAAAATAAAATCTTAAGTTTGCTCCCCTGCCATGCTTCCTGTTTTTTTATGAAGAAATTTTGCTCTTTGCCCACTTTCTTTTCCTCTCAGTATTCAGCCTTTCTCCAAGGCTATTTTTGTTTCTTTGCCATACTGAGAAAGCACAATTTTGCTTGGCCCTTGAAGGGCAAGAGCTTCATTTCACAGTACTACCTTAACAACGTTGTGCTTAACCTTATGCTGCATTTGTTATCTCTCCTTCATATTTCCTTCCCTAGATGCCATGGGGAAACAGATTCTACCCCCAAACAATATCAGTCAATACATAGTGAAAATATCAAAATAAATGACTACAGGTTAAAGAGGAAGAGTTTAATGAAATAATTTTGATTTAGTCCTAAATTCTTTAATTACTATTATGCACTGGTCAGGAAAGGAACAAAATAGGAGTCAGAATACTGAGGCTTAGATTGGCTGATGGCCAGAATTTTGTGTGCTGAAAACTTAGACCTGTGTCTCTTTCTGGTTAGAGAGAAGAGAGACCTTGGAGAAGAGGGATATTTTCTCCCACATTTATTTTCATATCTCTTCTGAGAAAATAAGAAGATTCCAATATTTGAACCAAAGAAAATATGTAAATTAAAGCCATCTTTTTACCAGGTTAAATGCAAACATATTTTTCAAGTAAAGTTATTCTTAGGTTTAAGTACTTTTGCCTGAATGTACATTTTTTTTAATGTGCCCCACTAAATTTTTGTTTTCTCCTTAATTAATAGTCTTAATTTCCAGGTTCTCAAAGGGTAGCCAAATATTTTGGGGCACCAGCATTTTGTATTTACATATGTTTATATGTATGTGTATTTATCTACACATACATAATTAATTTTAATTGTTTTTAACTTTAGTCAACTAGAATTTAGATTTTAGATTTTCTTCATTACATGTATAGTACTACAAATAGTATGTAGGATAGCATAAAATTTTTCTAGCATTGATTTTATGGGAAAAGTTTGCTGAGTTCCTAAGAACTGTCAGGCAAATTAATGTAACCATTTTTATAAACATGTAACACTTTATGGGCCGTAAAATCAGCCAATATATTTCAAGCACATACGTTTTATATAATTTAAAAGCCATTTTTGGAACTGGGCATAATGACATACTACTGTAATCCCAGCACTTGATTGAGAGAGGTGGATCACAAATTTGAGGCCAGTCTGAGCTACACAGATACTATCTCAGAAGGAAAAAGCTGTTTTTGTAAGATGTGGTTCTAAGAGGAGCATGAGAATTTGAGGAAATGATTGCATCCCGGTAGCATTAGCTTCTGAAAGTACTTAGAATAAATTTAAATTAAATTTATAATTTTTCATTTATATGTATATATATTTACTAGTTTCAGGATTTGAACTTAGGGCTTTATGCTTGCTCTGCTTGCTTGCTCAGCTGACACTCTACTACTTGAACCATGCCTCCAGCCCAAATTTATAAATCTTTAGATTAGCCAAACTGGAATCCTGAAAGTGAAAAGATTTAAAGTGTTTGGAAATTTTACCCATTAATTACGTATTTGGGGTTTTAAACAAGCAATTATTTCTAAAATTTAGGTTGCGCTGAAATAGCAGATGAAGTGTACATGGATGTCACTGTAGGGGCAGAGGAAGGAACTTCTCTCCCTGAAACTCAGCTTGAGGACTCTGATGTTAATAAAACAGTTGTCCCGGTTGTCTGGGCTGCATCATATGGTAGGACACTGGCATTTTTTTCACCTGATCAGTACATAACAAATGTATTTACTTGGCCTTTAGGCCATTAAATATACTGTGCTAATGCCGCCATTCTAATAAAATCAAAGCTTTGGCTGTAGACTGATTCGTCTCTAGTTACTTTACATGATTTTTCTATTTCATATCTTGTGCTATTTAAGTTGAACCATGCTTAATGCATTTTTCATTAGGATCTATTTTAAATCCTACCTATATAAATGAATGCCATAAAACATTTTCTTTTTCTTAAATAGGAGTAGCCCTTGAAAAATCAATCTCTTTTTAGAAAACACTTAATAAAAAATTTAAAACCCCAGATAATAAATGTGGGGGTTCTGAAAAGAAACAAATTCATATATTATCTTTGAGAAAGTATATAATGGAAGGTTAATTTATCAGGCTATTTTTGTCTCATTTTGTCTGTTTTATCTCATTTTATGTCCTGTACAAAATGGTCTTTGAAAGCTTTTGTTGTTGAAATGCATCAGTTTATGTAACCTTGGTTTTCCTAAAGGCTTATTCACTCAAGAGACATGTATTGAACATCTTCAGTACTTGTGGTACTCTGCACAAATAGCCACTCAGTTTTCAAAGTAAAACTGCTCTAGATTTTAACAAGTCCAAGGATTCTGATAGTAGCCCTTATTTTTAGTCTGTATTATTATGTGGGAATAGAAAAGCACAACAAAAATTTTCCTTAGTCCAACAAATGGTGGGAAAATAAGATTTGATGAATTAAAACGTGATCTGCTAGTAGTCAATGTCAGCATGTCAGTTTTTAATCAGTCTTTTTTTTAGGAGATGAAAGAAGAGTTTCCCGAAGGTATGAAGATTGTCAAGCATCAGGTAAGAGAGCATTATACATAAGATATTAAATATCTGGTTTCATGTACCACTTTGTAAGTGAAGAGTAATTTGTGACTGTAGACACATTTGTTGCAATATTTGCCTGAGCATAAGAGTTACATAGGAGTTTGTCTCTAAACAATTAATGTATATATGGACATCATATCCATAAATATGTGAATATAATTCACTTTAAAATCCCTGAAGTTCAGGCAGTTTACCACATGAGCCGTAAAATACTATTATAGAAAAAATATATATAAAATAAAAATTTCTTGGACAGAAAAGTAAAAATTGCTGATGATTGTCAACATCTGTCTTGGGGTTGAGTTATTTTCTTAGTTTAGATGGCAATAAGCTGTTATATGAAAGTAATATCACAACTGAATGTATAAAAACGCTATATAAAGTCTATGTGTCCACTTGAATTTTTTGTTAAACATACTCTGTATAGCATTATTCCATGATTGATATTTTTCTCTTAATCAAATGGATGTTTTTTCATGAGAAAAAAAAAGTGACCTATTTCTACTTTTGGGAGGATTTGACTACAGTTAAATGTGGATTTCACAAAAATGGATGAGAATCACAGCATATATGAAAAAGTGACTTTTCAATTTTTTGCCAGTCCTGAGCCTTGAACTCAGGGCCTTGAAACTGCCCATTAGCTTTTTTGCTCAAAGCTAGTGCTCTACCAATTTAGCCACAGCTCCACTTCTGGCTTTTTGGTGTTTAGTTGGAGATAAGAATCTCATGGAGTTTCCTGCTAGGGCTTGGCTTCAAACTATGATCCTCAGATCTCAGTCTCTAGAATGGGTAGGATTGCAGCTGTGAGCCACCAACACCCATCAAGATGTTATTTTTTATGCACTGATCCCAGTGAAATTACAGTAAAATGTTTGCCCACATCTATTTTAACCCATAAAATTAATGTAATACTTAATACTCTTCACATCATATGTGTTATTCCAAAGCACATGTGTGTATGATATTTTTCTTTTTATGTTTTACACATATTAAGCATGAGTGTTGGCTCACTGACTGATACAAGGGATGTTTCTTGCTAGATCCCTTTCATTTCATCAGCTTCACTTCTAGAAAATTTAGTCTAGTGCCAAGATTTTAAATACAGCCCTAAATTTTTCGTATTATACATTTATCTTATGAGTTTATTCCTTTAGTATGATCAGACAGAATTTTTGTCAGTACTGGGATTTGAAATTAGGTTTTATAGTTCCTAAGCAGACACTTAACCGATTGAGCCATACCAATCAGCCCAGAAGTTTCATTCTTTTTCTCTTTTTTTCGGTGCTGGGAATTGATGTCAAGGTTTCTTATATGGCAGGCCAATGCTATTCCATTGAGCTATGCACACAGACCCTCAAACTTCAATATTTGAAGTTAATTTTATAATTTTCCTATTCAAAGTATTTGCATGTAACTTTAGATGGAGAGAGAGAGAGAGAGAGAGAGAGAGAACACACGCACGCGCTAGAGACAGAGAAGATGACCATAACGTAACTTGGTATCATACCATTTACAGTAATACACCTAACAAAAATAAAAAGCAAAATATGTGTAGTTTAACAGTGTACCAATTTTTTCAGCAAATGCTTTGGACTCAGCATTAGAAAACAGAAACAGTACAACAGCACAGTACCTTCAAATTTGTGACAGCATTAATACCAATAAAGTACTTAAGCAAAAAGTCAAGAAGAGGAGAAGAGGAGAAACAAGGCAGTGGCAAACAGGTAAAATATTCTTTACAACTCATGATATACTCTTATTTTTATAACCAAAGGAAAAAAAATCAGTTGATCACACCTGTAATCCTAGCTACTCACAAGGCTAAGATCTGAGGATTTCAGTTCAAAGCCAGCCCAGGCAGGAAAGTCTGTGAGACTCTTATCTCCAATTAACCACCAGAAAACTGGAAGTGGTGCTGTGGCTCAAGTGGTAGAGTGCTTGCCTTGAGCTGAAGAGTGTAGGGACAGTGCCCAAGCCCAAATTTCAAGGCCCACGACCAAAAAAAAAATCAGTTGTTTACAAGGTAATTGTACTTCCCTTGGAGATCTTTGTGTATTATATAGATAACTATTTTCTTACAGTTGGGAAGTTTTGACTATCTACACTTAAATGTATACACTGGCAACTAATAAAACAACTATATTTTCCCCTCATTCAAAAGATACTTTAAAAAGTAATTCCATAATTGGTTTAACAATAAAAGTTTTCTGAATCTGGCTTTCAAAGTATAATTGATGGAAGTGTTTTGGCAGATTAGTAGTCTATAGTTGAGTGCTGAGCTAGGCACTGGGTGGCTGACACCTGTAATCCTAGCTACTCAAGAGGATGAGATCTGGGGACTGAGGTTCAAAGCCAGTTCAAATAGGAAAGTTCGTGAGACATTTATCTCCAATTTACTACCAAAAAAACTGGAAGTGGAGCTGTAGCTCAAGTGGTAAATTGCTACAAGAGCAAAAAGCTCAGGAATAGTGCCCAGGCCCTGAGTTCAAACCCCAGGACTGACACAAACAAATAAAAAAAGTACCATGAATTAACCTAAATTATTTTTTGTTATTATGTAGGTACTGGGTCTTGAGTTCAGGGCTTGGGCTCTGTCCTTTAGCTTTTTTGCTCAGGGTTGGTGGAGCCCACAGCTTCCCTTCTGGCTTTTTGCTGTTTAATTGGAGATAAGAATCTCACAGATTTTCCTGCCCTGGCTGGTTGTGAACCATGTTCCTCCCAACTCAGTCTCCTAACTAGTAGAATTACAAGTGTGAGCCACTGGCAACCAGCACATAAATTATTTCTAATTTTCAGTTTTATCTGATAAGAATTCATTCAATTAGTATTTTCCCAAGGCAAGTAGTCATTTAGTTTGGGTGCCATTGTTGTAAAATCCTTTAGAAAGTTCTGACCAGATATCACAATATTCTCTTTTTTTATCTAGCTGTTATAATAGGTCCTGATGGACAGCCCCTGACAGTATACCCTTGTCATATTTGCACAAAAAAGTTTAAATCCAGAGGATTCTTAAAAAGACACATGAAGAATCATCCTGATCATTTGATGAGAAAAAAATACCAGTGTACTGACTGTGACTTTACAACTAACAAGAAAGTGAGTTTCCATAACCACTTAGAAAGCCATAAGCTTATAAACAAAGTTGACAAAACCCATGAATTTACAGAGTATACACGAAGATACAGAGAGGCTAGTCCACTGAGCTCAAACAAACTTATCTTAAGAGACAAGGAGCCGAAGATGCATAAGTGCAAATACTGTGACTATGAAACTGCCGAACAAGGACTGCTGAACAGACATTTGCTAGCTGTTCACAGCAAGAATTTTCCTCATGTTTGTGTTGAGTGTGGAAAAGGTTTTCGCCATCCTTCTGAACTCAAGAAACATATGAGAACCCATACTGGTGAGAAGCCATATCAGTGTCAGTATTGTGTCTTCAGATGTGCAGACCAATCAAATCTGAAAACTCACATTAAGTCTAAGCATGGTAACAATTTGCCATATAAATGTGAGCACTGTCCCCAAGCCTTTGGTGAAGAGAGGGAGCTTCAACGTCATCTGGATTTGTTTCAAGGACATAAAACACATCAGTGTCCTCACTGTGAACATAAGAGCACCAACTCAAGTGACCTTAAGCGGCACATCATATCTGTCCATACCAAGGACTTTCCTCACAAATGTGATGTCTGTGATAAAGGTTTCCACCGTCCTTCAGAGCTTAAAAAACACAGTGATATTCACAAGGGGAGGAAGATTCATCAATGTAGGCACTGTGACTTTAAAACATCAGATCCATTTATTCTTAGTGGTCATATCCTTTCGGTTCATACCAAGGATCAGTCATTGAAGTGTAAAAGGTGTAAGAGAGGGTTCAGACAGCAGAATGAACTCAAAAAGCATATGAAGACCCATACAGGAAGGAAGATTTACCAATGTGAGTATTGTGAGTACAGCACTACAGATGCATCTGGCTTTAAAAGGCATGTGATATCAATCCATACAAAAGACTATCCACATAGGTGTGAATTCTGCAAGAAAGGATTCCGAAGACCATCAGAAAAAAATCAGCATATTATGAGACACCACAAGGAGGCTCTTATGTAATAAGATCAACATAAAGAAGCTATTTAGAAAATGAGATATACTACTTGGGAGGAAAGTATCATTTTTTCATCTGGTTTGTAACCTTGATATCAAACCATAACTTTACATTCTTTGTATTAAAGATCTTAAAACATTTGGATTAACAGGGGAATCTCATAGCCCTTTGGAAGTTACTTAATGATTTTCAGAAGCACCATAGAAAGGTTGCAGAAAGACTTAAGTGTCTACTTACTAGTATTATATGCATAACTAAACTGCAGAGGGGAAATGTAAAGACCAAGTACCTTATTTGGTTGATCTCATTAGAGACAAATGTTTCTGAAAAGAGAGTACAAGATTGAGGGATTTAAAATTGCAGTGCTTTGCTCTAGCCAGCAAGCCTCACTTTTATGCAATTTTAGAAATAGGTTGGGGAAAGACAATGCAGTCATCCATCGGTCACTTAGTCATTGAGCCTTTTTATTGTACCTAGACATTGAATTCCAGAATTGTGAAAGCTTTGTGTATTCATTAAAAGAAATCTCACTGGAAAAAGTTAGATGAATCCAGTGCTATTAAATAAAAACATAATCTCAGTGCTGCTAATATTTTATCATGGGATAGGATGTTTAGCATTCTGTACTGAAAACTAAGGTGAAATCTAAGGACTGAAGTTCCCTTTTTCACATGTTCAAGTAGTGTTCAGTATGTCATATATAACAAAAGTATATTTGAGTCTTGAGTCAAATGCGGCTTTCTAAAATGGATGCAACTGTGGTGTTGCAACAAAGATCAGTACTATATTTCTTAATGATCTAAAAGTTAAGTTGAGAGAACACAGAGGTTTCTTAAATATTATATAGTTTTTTTAGGACAGTCTTAGCAAGTATGGTTGTTCTAGTCTTACTTGCTCTAATGTTTAAAGGTGCAATTTTATGCCATTATTGAAATTTTTGATTTTAACATCAGTATACCATATTATTAACATAAATCTTCAATATGAGGCAGTATTTACACAGTATTTAACAGAACATGCTGCCAATAGAGTTTGGAGGTGGATATTCAGTTTACAGTGTATAAACTTAAAATATGCATCCCTTTAACAACGCTTTGTGTTAGCATGCTGCAAATCAAAATGACACTTAATATTAAATGCTGGTTTAAGGAAATTTAATGAAAATCCTGTTCATAAATGTAATGCATATGGTGTGTGCTTTTAAGTTTTAGTTGCTTTCATTTACATTCAGCTGTTCAACATAATTAAAATGTACTTTTAGTTCATGTTATATTGTGAATTTGTGTTTTAAATGATACTCACTTTTCTGTTTTTGCACCAGATAAGAATCAGTAACGAAATTTTTTTTAATCTTTCTTAACTTCAAAATAATAAATTGGAAAAAATCTACCAAAATGTGTGTTATGTGGCTGTAAATGATGTACACGCTGTAAAATAAGAACGTCACTGTTACGTGGAATTATTATTTCTAAATGTTACTCAGTGAAATGAGCATACAATAAAAAAGCATTTATTGCACTTGGGTTTTATGAGTTTCTTTAAAGTGTTGTAAATTTTATTCCTTATTAAAAGGTCCCTTTTAACATCTAAGAGTTTGAGAAGTGATGACATAACACCTTTATTCTTCAAGAATGTACATTATTTGCTAAAAGCATGAAATGCTATAAATGAAGATGCTCATCCTAAGACCTGAAATTTACTATTATGAAGAAATAAAAAGATTTTTAACCTGGTTGACATGACAAACAAGAGAAATGAATATATGTAGTTATATTCCCAACCTCTAGTCGAGTGAGAGTTGATTCAAATATTCTAGAGTTCTAAAATTAGTCTCTCTATTTTCCAACTAGTCAGCATTAATAGAATATATATACTTAGATGTATAGCACAATTAGTGAAAGCTATGTCAACTGATTTATATTTTTGTACCAGTCCCAGGGTTTGAACTCAGGGCCTGGTGGCTGTCATTGAAATTTTTGCATCTAGCTTTTTGGTAGTTTAATTGGAGATAAGAGCCTCAAACTTTCCTGCCCAGGCTGGCTTTAAACTTCAGTCCTCAGACTTCAGCTTCCTAAGTAGCTAGGATTACCTGCTGAATTACTATTCATTAATGAACAACAGAAAACAAAATCTATTAGCATTGTATTACATCAGTGGTCCTCAAATGTTTATAGAGGGCTAGGTAGCTTGTTAAAATACACATTCTGGCTAGGCACCAGTGGCTCATACCTGTAATCCTAGCTACTTGGGAGGCTGAGATCTGAGGATTGCAGTTCAAAGCCAGCCCATGCAGGAAAGTCCATGAGACTCATCTCCAGTTAACCACCAGAAAACCAGAAGTGGTGCTTTGGCTCAAGTTGTAGAGCACTCAACTTGAACTGAAGAGCTAAGGGACAGCACCCAGGCTCAGAGTTCAAGCCCCACAACCGACAAAAAAAAAGGAATTGTGGCACCTAGCACTCTGCATTTCTAGCAAGATGTTACCACCATGTGAATAAAAATGATTTAGAAAAAAACATCCCCTGTAATTCTGGTACATTTTGCTATCTCTGCTGAATTAAGTGAATAGAGGGAATCCTTGGGGCCATGCTGTAGTCACATACGATATTGGGAGAAAGTAAAACACAGAAACCTGCTTTTGCTAGACAATTTTAGGTGAGGAAGATAAAGACTGATTAGAGATGACCTATGAGTAGTTCGAAGTGGGGAGTTATGAGGTTTTAAACAAGAGTATGTTATGCTGTACATTTTGAAGATCATTCTTGAAGCTGTGTGAGGACTGAAGAGTTGGTTAAGGAAGCAATGCTTCATATTATGGTAAGAGATTATTCTGACAATTCATGGTCACAGTACAACTGAAGAAAAATGGATGGGTTTCTTTTTACTTGCAAATTGGTTAGAGGGAACTTCAGGTAGAATAGATGTGAATTGGCCCATGTTTGTGTGTGTGTGTGTGTGTGTGTGTGTGTGTGTGTGTAAAATAGGTTTTTACCTATCAGGAAAAATGGTATTGCTATTTGCAGAGAAATGAATGGGCTTGGAAAAAATGTTAAGTGAAGTCAATCAGAGACAAAGGATGTATGTTCTCTCCCATATGTTTAAGTAAGATATAAATTATAAATATATATATGTAAATATACAAGGTCATATGCATATATAAACAAATATATCAACTAAATCTGGTATATATGAGAATACTCCAATGATGTAATGCCTATGAACAACTATTTTGCAGTTTAACAAAATACCAGGAAGCTGGCAGGGGGTAAGGTCAAGGGGAAGGAAGGTGGGGCCAAGCGAGAGAGGAAGTGTAGGCAAATGCAGTCATAATATTTAATGAACGTGTGTGAAAATGGAACCAGATAAATTGAGGGACTAGGTGGGGTTGGAAGAGATGGAGGAGAAAGATCAGAGAGGTTCGACATGAAGATTCAGTGTGTGCAAACTAACATATTGAATTGAAACCTGCTTAAGGATAATAATAATAGTATTTTACTATCCAAAGTTTTCCTATATAGCAAAATAGATTCCATCCAAAACTGTAGATCTTTAGGTTCACAAGAAAGGAAAAAAATGGGAATTAATGAAAAATCTGTTTTCTGAACTGGTTCAGGGCAATTATGTACAGGTAAATTTATCCAATTGTCATAAATAACCTCTTTGTAGATCAAAGTAGTTATTACTAGCCAAGGGGATGTAAAAATACAGAAAATACCACATATTTTTATTAGACCAAAAGTACCATGGAAATTAAATTTAGTAATAACATGTGTTGGAGAAGATACAATATTTAAGAAATCTTTCCAAAACATATCATTTACTATTAAAAGATTTTTACTGTCAAAAGAAATATGTCATCTCTGTAACTTGCAATAATGGGAAAGATGTGTGAAGATGGCTTTTTGTTAAGGTGATCCGAAGTGGGTAATGAACATTTAAAAGATTTTTGTGTTACTGCCCGTGTAAAGGAAAAGTAATACCATTAAAGAACCATAAAATAGCTGGAAAGAGTATTTGAAACAAGTAAAGTATAGAGCTTAGGAAACTAGGTTTGTAGACAATTTTTTTTTTATTTTGGTCAGTCGTGGGGCTTGAATTCTGGGCTTGGGCACTGTCCCTGCGCTCTTCAGCTCAAGGCAAGCGCTCTACCGCTTGAGCCACAGCGCCACTTCTGGTTTTCTATTGGTTTATTGGAGATAAGAGTCTCACAGACTTTCCTGCCCGGGCTGGCTTTGAATCATGATCCTCAGATCTCATCCTCCTGAGTAGCTAAGATTACAGGCGTGAGCCACAAGCGCCCAGCTTGTAGACAAATTCTTATATGAAGTAGAGACCTGGATCAACTGGGGTCATTTAAAGTGACATCTTTGTAGTCTACATCAGGACAGGTTTTAAGGTTTTGTTAATGTGTTTTCATTAGAGGGGCAAATTAGTTTCAACATAAACATTCACATAACTTCTTGACATATATGAGCCAAAGAGGAAAATCCATCCTCTATGTTCCTATTTGAACTTCCAGAAAGACCATACAGTTAACATATTTTATTAGACACATAAACAAACGACTTTGTATAGCACTGTGGTTTCCATTTTATTTGACAGACCTAAAGTGTAAAACATAAGGAAATAGAAATTAGATGAGCAAGCATTCCTCCCCTGACATCTGCAGTTTTCATAAATACTTTATGAAATTGGTGAGAAGATATAATTCCTATTTCGATTCATCTTCCAAATTAGAAGCAAAGTATACTTGAATATATATTTTTATCTATCTATCAGTTCTCTATACCATTCAATTTTGTATTAGTGTTTTTATTAAATTATATTTTATTATCTTTACTTGTACATAGGAGTTACCATTCAACAAATCAGTTTGTGGATACACTATCTTAATCAATGTCACACTTCCATTATTCTTTCCCATCCCTCAATTTTCTTAATTTTATAGGATATGCAATTAATATTATGACTGCTTTTTTCTACCCACCTTTCTCTGTATTAGAATTTTAAAAGCTATTAAATCTAATAAGGACTTTTTATGACCTCATTATTCATGGATCAAGTGGAGCAAGGAAGTACTGGCTGACATCTTAACAGCTCCCTAACTTTGGATTATTTGGAAAAAAAACACCCATTTTCAAGTTCAAACAATAATAATGGTAATTTTTCAAAGAAGATAATAACTGGTACTGGGGCTTGAACTTAGGGCTTGGTGCTATTGCTTAGTTTCTTTCTCAAGGCCAGCACTATACCATTTTACCCATAGCTCCACTTTGGGATTTTTGCTGGTTAATTATGGACTTTCTTGCTTGGGCTCGCTTGGAACAATGATCTTCAAATCTCAGCCTCCTGAATAGCTAAGATTATAGGGATGAACTGCAAGCATTTGGCTGACATATAATTTGTAATAAGTGAATAAAATACACTTCTGTTATAGTTACATAGATGAGTAGTTAGCAGAGGAAGAACTACTCAATTATTCCAACACCAAATGAAAAACCAAAATTATGAAGTGTTATTAATATTTTATACCATAAAATACTGTTAAAATAGGAATTTCAGAAATTCCTATTTTCTAACAACATTTCAACCAAAGTACTAGGGTAATATAAATAAGTCTTTTAGCTTCATAGCAAGACCTATTTGAATGTTTCTATAAATGAATATTCAAAGAATTTACCCTTATTTGTAGCTTCAGTTGGCATGTCTGACCTTTGCTAAACAATTTTTAGTATACTGAATAATTATTAAACTATATTTATAAACCATGAGAATTTTAGATAGATATTTGTAGATATACTGCCAAACTTAGTTAACATGAAATCCAAATATATTTGACACCTTCATCTAAACTTTAATGAATGCAACAGTATTTGTTCAGTCTTAGGAAAACTTTGAAGTTAAGAAATTCAGCTCCTATCTTGTAATGTATTTAACAGTTCTGTTTACTTTGTAAGGTTATTAGAACCCAACTAGCCAGAGAAATTCTAAGTACATTAAATACTATGAAATATTTCTCCCAAGTAGGATTCAACTATCAAGTATTTGGTGCTTCTACTTTTATTCTTTAGGCCTTTATATAATAATTCAATGCTATGTTTGCCCCTCACTATGAAAATGTTTGCCTTCTTTTGGCCCTACCACCACAATATAGAGTTCTGTTTTTAAGAAAGTGAATGAGTCATCTGGAGAGGCTATTCTTTGAAAGAATAGATTTGTGGAGCTATGGACATGTGCTTACACCCAAGTACCTTAATATACCATTTAATGGATGTATTCATTTAGGAAGGTATTGCCCACATCTTTGCTAAATGAAATTAACTATCACCTTTGATTTAGTTGTGTCCAACAAGTGCCATTAACACATAATAAAGTATCTCCTACACTCACAGGCTTAATATTAGAGAAGAAAATTTAGGCTGGATATATCACCTACTAGTTATTTCTTAAATTTGTCTTGTCCTCTTTAAAAGAACAGCATTGAATTGTATAGCTGAAATG